ACACACACACACACACACACACACACACACACACACACACGAGAAAGACAGAGACCTTAAGAACTAATTCCCCATTCCAGTAGACTGCTCTCATAACTATGTCATCACAGAATAATGCTGAACCAAGGAAGGTAACAGGATGCAATGGGAACTAAACAAGATTTTTAAAACTGGAAGTTACTAGTTTTGTACATATTGAATAAAAACTAACTGTATTAATTTGAGGCGTATTATTTATCACAAACGGGTTTTCAGTTTTTGCTTTGCAGTTCCCTCAAGGCCGCAACAAACCAACAAAATGTCATCCAGTCACGTCAGGTATTACTGCTTTCATTATGAATTTCCTTGATTCAGTTACAACCTAAATACTATTTAAGTGAAGCTTCTGTGCATGAACATTATAGGTATTGGAAGTTTACCAAATAGTTAAATAGTCACATATCATTTGTGTGTGTTAAAAACCAACCTTCTTTCTAACAGAACTTATAATCATGCTGAAATGAAAACTGGGAGTAGCTTTTAAGTTCCTAGTTTACCCTTTAAAAGAATTAAAAGAATAGAACATTTCAAGTAATCTGTATATCCCAAATTATGAACTTATTACATTGGGTTTAACTATGCCAGAATGGCCAAAATAATTACCAAGCACATGGTTTTACAAAAATGTATTGTTTATGTCCAGAATAGAGCAGCAGTATTTGGACCTGTCTGAGACAGCAGCAAAAGAAAGATGTAGAGAGCAATTATACAAATGCAAAGAAATTTGGATTCTGTTTCTTGATACGTTTGGATAAAGAATGCTAAGATAGCCCAATAATGCCAGACTTCCATTCCATCTGACCTCTCTTTTTGTCCTCCCTCTTCCCGCCCCTCCCACATCCCCTTTTCTGCCTACGTGTGTGGGTTTTTTTGCTTACTGTTACCCCTACCCTAATGTGTTATATCTATGCAGTGCGGTTGTAGCCATGTTGGTTATTAGAGAAACAAGGTGGGTGAAGGTAGTATCTTTCCTTGGACCAACTTCTGTTGGTGAGAGAGACAAGCTTTTGAGCCACACAGAGCTCTTCTTGAGGTCTGGGAAAGGTACACCTAGCATTACAGCAAAACACAAAGTGGACCAGATTGTTTAGCATAAGTAGTTGGCACAGAAGTTGGTCCAATAAAAGACATGACCTCATCCACCTTGTCTCTCTAATATTATAGCTATGTCATACTGTCTGATTTTGCAGTTCTGACATGTTGCGTAATTACGTAATTTTATTGGATAGCCTGTGAAATGTGCAGTATTTGGTGATATACACAAGCTGTAAATCATTTACCTTTTTTGTATTTTTTTAAATGAAAATTAATTTAAAAAGGAACCTGGAAGCAGATGAAGTTGGGCCTTTCCTTTAAAAACTGTTGATGCTATTGAAAAAACTTTGTTTTTTAAAATGATGTCATCAGGCTCAGCCACTCCTTTCAATAACTCTCTTCTTATGCTGAGATTTTAAACTTTGCAATTCTTATTTAAAAAAAACAGAATATTTTAATCAAATATCCTGCTGCTTTCTTTAAAAAAAACACAAAACTTATTTTTAATTTCTCATACTCAGACTGAATTCAAATGTGACTTAAAAATCCACAACACTGTATACAATAAAACACTCCATTTGATTTCATGATGAAATGATGCATTATTTGAGATTTTCAGTCATGGGATGAGTTATTAACTGGTTATAAAGTTGTGCCAAATATGGTAATTTTTCCTAATATCAACTTTTTCCCCATGTTATTAATATATTTTATAGTTGCCCCTAGTTTAGAAATTTATTACTGGGAGCATTATCATCCAGCAACCTGATAAGTGAATTTCAAAATCATTAGATTGAAAGAGATTCTCAGAACCTGTGTGTGTTAAAACAGTTACCTCATCAAATTCTTCAGTCATTTTTCGGATTATTTCAGAATTCTGCATATGTCGAAACATCTCCGCTGTAACAACACCTACAATACAGACATTAGATTATTAATACTGTAGATATAAAAGAGGCATCACATATTAGCTAGCATCTGAAAAAAGTTCAGACAACTGTCAATTTATAGGACTTTAAACATCTGAAGTTTTTCATATAAAATAAAATTATACAGAAAGACGAAAAAATATATGATTTAGTCAAACATATTCATTGTCTGTACACTAACAAATTCTTTAGAGCACTATTAATGTAACTATTGATGTTAAACAGAAGAAGCACCCGCATATATTTTGGGAAACATTATATATACAAATTTAATTGATAAGATTCATATATTCTCCTTCAAATTGTAAAAAAATTTTAGAAGTACATCAATTTTTCAGTCTAAAAACATGGATTGGCTGGCTCCCATTTCTACAAGTACAGACGCAATTATTTATGAGAAATTTAGTTTGATATATTTGAATACAATCATTTTACAAAGTTACATAATTCCTTGCAAAATAATGCAATTGTGAGATAATCACTAAGGACAAGATATTTTAAGGTGACAAGCTCAACTCAAAATGAAACAAGGAGTATTTGAATGCGGAATATAACATGACATCTTATAGCTTTCTTTTCATCAGTGCTCCCTCCCTCAAAAAACCCAAAGGCAAAAATAAACCAAAAAAAAAAAAAAAAAAAATCAAACTTTCAAGGCTGAAAATTGAACATTCAAATTTTAAGGCAGGAAGGATTAGAACTACTGTAGAGATAGGTTGCTCAGAGTTCCAAATGAGAGGAACCACTGCATCTTTAGGATCCTCTCCAGCCAATTAAGGCACAGCAATGAAGTCAAGAGTGAACCAATCTCCACAATCCTCACCCAGAGGTCTGATGTGGTGTGATGCCTTTGATGACAAAGGGTATGTTTTGGGAAGTGGGGGCTCCTAGAAGACCTCTCCTACTCAAGATTGAACTACAATCATTGCAAAATATTAGATCCCAAGTACCACTCCTGCTTTTGTAGATAACGTGGAATATCTCACTTCTGAGAATGAATGGCATTTGCACCTGACCACAACACTGGATGAGAGATTGCATTCATGTGAACTAACCTTACAGTATCTAAGGTGTTAAATAGAATCATATAATCATTTTCTACACTTACTGGTACTATAAAATGTTTTAGAAGAAGTTTTCAGCTACAGACATTACGAACATTAACAGGTGGATTTTAAAAAGTGATACGAGGGCATAAAAAAGACCTCTCGGTTCCTATTTCAACTATACTCACTGCTTCATGACATGGATCATGGTAAAAAATAAAGGACTCTGGAACTTCGGTGCCAATATCAAAAAGATGCACTACTGAACTCAGTCCTGCTCTTGGAAGTGTAGGGAGCTCTAGAAAAAACGGTTACCTTCTGTAACTGTTGTTCTTCGAGATGTGTTGTTCACGTCCATTACACATTAGGTGTGCGCGCGCCGCGTGCACGGACGTCGGAAACTTTTTCCCTTAGCGGCTCCCGTCGGGCCAGCAGGGCCCCCTCCTCCCGCCAGAGCGGCGCCCCGCTCTAGGATATATATATCCCTGCAGGCCCGACCCCCTCGGTTCCTTCTTGCCGGTGACTCCGACAGAGGGGAAGGAGGGTGGGAAGTGTAATGGACGTGAACAACACATCTCGAAGAACAACAGTTACAGAAGGTAAGTAACCGTTTTTTCTTCTTCGAGTGATTGTTCACGTCCATTACACATTAGGTGACTCACAAGCTTACCATTGGAGGCGGGTAGGAGTCAAGGTACAACTGATTGTAGCACAGCCCTGCCAACCACTGCGTCCTCTCTGGTCTGATGATGGATCGCGTAGTGGGCTGTGAACGTATGCACGGACGACCAGGTGGCCGCTTTACAGATTTCCTCATTCGGAACCTGCGCCAAGAAACCCGCCGAGGACGCTTGGGCCCTAGTCGAGTGAGCCCGGATCTCTGGGGCTGGTACGTTGGCGAGCTCATAGCACGTGCGTATGCAACGCACAATCCATGCTGACAAGCGTTGTGTCGAGATAGGTAAGCCTCTCATACGTTCCGCAACGGCAATAAACAGCTGAGGTGTTCTGCGGAACGACCTGGTCCGCTCCAGATAAAACGCCAAGGCCCTCCGAACATCGAGGGTATGCAGGCTGCGGTGGCTAGGGTCCGCATGGGGCTTAGGGAAGAACACTGGTACACAAATGTCTTGCCCCAGGTGAAACTGCAAGACCACTTTTGGAAAAAATTTAGGATGCGGCCTTAGTTGCACCTTATCCTTATGAAAAACTGTATAAGGGCGTTCCGAAGTGAGGGCTCTCAATTCCGATACCCTCCTGGCCGATGTGATGGCCACGAGAAACGCCACCTTCCACGAAAGGTGCATGAGGGAGCAAGCGGCTATGGGTTCAAAGGGGGGCCCCCATGAGCTTAGTTAGGACCAAGTTCAGATTCCACGCAGGGACCGGTGGGCGCGAATAGGGAAACACCCTCTCCAGTCGCTTGAGGAATCGGGCTACTGTGGGGTTGGAGAAAACGGACACACCCAACTCCTCCGGATGGAACGCCGATATGGCAGCCAGATGCACTTTAATTGAGGCGGGGGCGAGCCCTTGATGCTTGAGGTACAGTAAGTAGTCCAGAATCGATGGGACTGAGGCGTGCAGAGGCTGTATGTGCTGAGGCTCACACCAGTGGGAGAACCTCTTCCATTCGGCCAGGTAGGTCGCTCTTGTGGAGGGCTTCCTACTACCAAGGAGAATTTGCTGGACCTGGTGGGAGCACCTGTGTTCCGCATCGTTCAGCCAGAGAGATACCACGCCGTGAGATGTAGCGACGGTAGGTTCGGGTGGAGCAGCTGACCCCTGTCCTGTGTGACGAGGTCGCGATGGAGGGGGAGGGTAATCGGGTCGGCTATGGACAATTCCAGCAGGGTCGTGAACCAATGCTGTCGTGGCCACGCCGGGGCGATGAGGATGATTGTCGCCTTGTCCCTGCGGGTCTTGAGGAGGCGATGAGGATGATTGTCGCCTTGTCCCTGCGGGTCTTGAGGAGGACCTTGTGGATGAGTGGGAATGGAGGGAAGGCAAACCTCAGGCTTCCTCCCCACGGAATCGCTAAGGCATCTGCCAACGACCCCGGGCTGAGGTTCTGGAAAGAGCAAAACTGAGGGCATTGTCTGTTGTCCTTGGTGGCGAATAGATCCACCCGGGGAAACCCCCACCTCTGGAAGATTGAATGCAGGACGTCCCGCCTCAAAGCCCATTCGTGCATGTGGTAGGATCAGCTGAGGCGGTCTGCTAACCTGTTTTGGACCCCTGGGAGATACGTTGCGATTAGATGGACCGAATGGGCTATACAGAAGTCCCATAGGCAGAGTGCCTCCTGACAGAGGGGAGAGGACCGGGACCCGCCCTGCTTGTTTATGTAGAACATGGCGGTAGTGTTGTTCATCAGAACTGACACGCTGTGACCTTCTATGGTGGCGTGGAAGGTCTGACAGGCGAGGCGAACCGCCCTCAGCTCCTTCATATTGATGTGAAGCAACCTGTCTTCCCTGGACCACAACCCCTGGGTCCGCAGTTCCCCCAGGTGCGCCCCCCAACCCAGGTCAGATGCATCTGTTACTAACGTCAGAGTGGGTTGTGGGGCAGCGAAGGGGATCCCTTCGCAAACCTGCTGTTGATCGAGCCACCAGCGGAGGGAGCTTAACCCCCGAGCCGGGATCGTCACCATCAGGTCCAAAGGGTCTCTGTAGGGACGATACGTCTGGGCTAGCCACAACTGCAATGGCCTGAGCCTTAGGCGAGCATGTCTGACTACGTGTGTGCAGGCTGCCATGTGCCCCAGGAGCTGCATGCAGCTCCTTGCTGTAGTCGTGAGAAATTGCTGGACGGAGCTTACGACCCCTTGAATGGCCAAGAACCGCGACTCTGGAAGACTTGCTCGCGCCGTCACCAAGTCCAGGACTGCACCTATGAAGTCCAGTCTCCGCATGGGAATTAGTGTGGACTTGGGCACGTTAACCAGTAGGCCGAGCCTGCCGAACACCTGTAAGGCCAGCATCACGTGGGAGCGGACCTCGGCCTCCGACCTGCCCGCGAGGAGCCAGTCGTCCAAGTACGGGTACACGCGCATCCTTCTCTTCCGAAGAAAGGCTGCTACCACGGACATGCATTTCGTGAACATTCGTGGTGCCGTTGCTAGTCCTCGAGCGTAGCTTCAAAAGCCTGGTTTACTTCCTGGCTGCGGCTTGCCTTGGCCATGACCTTGGCCTTGGTTAGGCGTATTGTTACGTCTCCGCCTGTTATCCCTGCCACGACGGCGGTACAGTTCTTGCCGAGGACGAGGGTGGTACTGCCTCTGTGGTGGCTGGGGCTTAAGGGGTTTCCGCTGTGTTGCGGGGGTATGCATTCCCAACGACTTTAGGGTCGTTCGCGAGTCCTTGAGGCTATGTAGCCTAGCATCCGTTTGGTCCGAAAACAAGCCTGACCCTTCAAACAGAAGGTCCTGCAGGGTGGTCTGCACCTCTGGCGGAAGGCCTGAAGCCTGTAACCATGCCGAGCACCTCATCACTACCCCGACGCGATTGTCCTAGCAGCTGCGTCAGCGGAGTCAAGGGAGGCCTGCAACGAAGTTTTGGCCACCGCCATCCCTTCGTCCACTAGGGCCGTGAACTCTGGTTGTGCGTCCGGAGGCAGGGATTCTTTAAACTTGGAGACTGATGCCCAAGAATTAAAGTTGTGTCTGTTCAGAATCGCCTGCTGATTAGCGATCCTCAGCTGGAGGCCCCCAGACGAGTTGACCTTCCTCCCGAACAAGTCCAAGAGTTTCACCTCCTTGGCCTTGGGCGCAGGGGCTTGCTGGCCATGACACTCGTTCGTTGACCGCAGAGACTACCAGCGAACAAGGAGACGGGTGCGAAAAGAGCAAGTCAAACCCTCTAGATGGGGCGACGTATTTCCTCTCCATGCCCCTTGCAGTTGGTGCGCTGGAGGCCAGTGTTTGCCATACCGTCTTGTAATTAGACTGGACCGTCCTTATAATCAGGAGAGCGATTCTGGTGGGGCCCTCCGGGCTCAGGATGTCGACCATGGGGTCCTCCTGCTCTACGGTCTCCTCTGCCTGCCAGCCCAGATTGAGGGCTACACGGCGGAGCAGGTCCTGGTGCGCCCGATGATCAATCAGGGGAGGGCCAGACACTATTGTGCCCGCCACGGCTTCGTCCGGCGAGGAGGAAGAGGTCGGGGCCTTTTGCCCATCTTCACCTTCCTGCAACCCGTCATCGATTGGTTGCTCCTCTGGGGCCTGTCCCACGCTGTGGGACTGAGACGGTACCGTGCTCGGTGCCGAGTCCACTCCTTCATGCTCCTGCAGTCTGGAGATCGTTGCCTCCTTGCGAGAGGGCGGGCGGTACTGCGGAGAGCAGGACCGGTACCGTGATGGCCCAGATCTCGAGACCCTGGATGGGGGGCCTTGCTGGTGGTAGGCCCAGGGTGTCCAGAATGGCCATTGGCCTGGCTGGCCCCATTGAGGATGACAAGAGGCTTCGTAGTCTCTACTGGCCTGTGTCCTGTGGGCATACCCGCCGTACCAGCCTGAGTCAGTCTCCGACACCACGGACAGTGATCTTGAAGGCCACGGCGGTGCCGTGGGACGGTGCCGGTCCGGGGTTGGAGAGCAGTGTCTCCGCAACCGGGACCTGGAGTAGCGTCTCGCCGATCTGGACCTGGATCGATACCGGTGACCACGGGACCGGGAACGACTAAGGGTGGTCGGTCTCGGGGATCGTGTAACCGACGCGTCCCGGTGCCGACTCGAGTATGGCTGCTGGGTCGGTGCCGTCCGCTTATTGAGGCCTGACGGCTGTGGCGCTTTCTGCACGGAGGGCAGCCAGGAGTCCACCGAGGCAGAACTCGACCGGGACTGGTGCCGTGAAGGCGACCGTGATGGGCGCACCATCGCTGACTTGCCTCTGGATGGCAGTCTCGGCGGAGCGTCCTTAGTTTGTGGAGGGCCCTCAACAGACAATTCAATGAGGTCCTTTGCTGCCTCAAATGTGTCCGGAGTGGAAGGCTGTTCCAAGAGCTCCTCCAGCCCTTCCTCCTCACTCGACGCGCCTATCCCGGGGCTTGACGGGCCTTTCGGCGCCGGAGCCACTGACACCGGGACCTGTGCCGGGGCCGTAACGGCCTTAGGCGCACTTGAGGTCTTCGCTGGCGCTACCCCCTTATGCGGGGAGCGTCCTTGGGCCTTGGGTTGGCCCTTCGATTTGGGCGGCGAAGACGACTGGTGCCGTAAGTGTCCTCGCTGAATCGGTGCCGTGGGCTTCGGGTATCCCGCCGGCGCCAGGTCCCGGACCGAGGCAGACGGTGCCATCGAAGTGGAGGACTGTAACGCTGTCTCCATGAGCAGCTGCTTAAGGCGAAAGTCTCTTTCTTTCTTAGTCCTGGGCTTAAAGGCCTTACAGATCTTGCAGTGCTCTTTTTGGTGCGTTTCCCCCAGGCCACAGAGACATGAGTCGTGAGGGTCGCTCAATGGCGTAGGCTTACGGCACGTGGCACAAGCCTTGAAGCCTTGGGCGTGTGGCATGCCCCGCCACCCAGGGCCGGTGCCGACCAAACACCTACTACAAGAACTTAAGTACTTCTAAAGAAGTGTTAACTACTAAGCTTAACACTAACAACTAAAGAACTGATAACTGTGAAGATAACACTAATGACTATGCTAAGGGACACTCTCAGACGAGAGACAGAGTTGTTCCAACGCCGCCACGGACAGTAAGAAGGAACTGAGGGGATCAGGCCTGCAGGGATATATATACCCTAGAGCGGGGCGCCGCTCTGGCGGGAGGGGGGGGCCCTGCTGGCCCGACGGGAGCCGCTAAGGGAAAAAGTTTCCGACGTCCGTGCACGCGGCGCGCGCACACCTAATGTGTAATGGACGTGAACAATCACTCGAAGAAGAACAGCGGTTCTCAACTTTTTGAGTTGAGTCCCCACTTTGAGTTATAATTTTTGGTTGCACCCCTCCCCCCCACAACCCAGACAGGCTGGGTGGCCTGCTGAGGTGAGTCAGGGGATTGAGATGGTGCTCCGTCCCCAGGTCCCACCATGAGGAACTGGGCCCAAGCCCCGCCGGACCCTTCCCCTCCCCCTCAATAGAAGTAAAACTACATCTATGCCCAAGGGCTCCCCCCTCCACCCCCACTAATTGGGCCCTGGAGGGTTTTGGGTTTTTTTTGTTTTGTTTGGTTTTTCTTTTAAGAGTATGTGGGGTGGGGGGTGCTCAGAAAGAAAAAGGTTGAGAACCTCTGCACTAGAGGGGTATTGGAGGTAATGTGCATGTTCAAGGGATGAGGAAATGCTTGATGAACATCACTTTACACCCCCCCCCCCATCTAGAATATTACCCCAGTGACTCTAGAGTGAGCCATCTAGAGTCTCTTCTTCTGAAAAGGGAGAAGTTAAGAGAAAAATAGAGACAATGAGCGAGATTGATGGGAGGGGAATCACAAGGCTCAAAAAAACAACCACCACAAACACCCCACAGGAATAACATAGGAGCCTCTCTAGGCCACCTATCTCGAAACTACTCAAAGATCTTTCAAAGCAAAAAAAGTAAGAAAAAGCTGTATTAGACTTCAAAGTTAAAATGTTTGCAACAGATAAAACTATTTAGTAATGTCCAACTCAAATCCATTTTCAACAAAATTGCTGAAAGTCTTTCTGGAATGTTCAACTATAGTGAAATTCATGAAGGGGCAAAAAAAAGATAAAATCACAGTCTTTTCCACGTGGGCTGGCTAAAGTCTGATTGGAACTTAAAAGTTTCACCCGCATTTCTATTTTGGTTAAAAATAGTCATCCCCCTAACTAAAATAGTTACACAGGTAAAATCCCTAGTGTGGATGAAGTTATTATGCTATAAAATGAGCTATATCAGTGTAGTTACTCCCTTTTCTGTACGGAAGAGCTATATTAATACAAAGCACTTTTATACTGGCATAACTGCACCCAGTCTAGGAGGATTCTACAATTTTAACTATACCAGTATAACGAATGCAGATCTACTGCCCAGTATAGACTAACTAATTGTGAGAAGGTACTCACTACAGCATCAGCATAATAGGGAAGACTACTAAAGAGAGATTTGGCAGGCAATTATCTAAACAAAGGGGATGTAGAATAGCTAGGAAAGTATTTTAACTTAACATGCTTCCAAAAATATACATCTTACCTTTGCAGCCTGAACACTGAATAAAGAAGTTGATGAGGTCAAGAAGCGCTATATCTCTGTCATGTTTGTATGACTCTATCCAGTCATCCACTACAGACTGGGTCATGGGGCGGGGGAAGAGGTAGAAAGAAAAAACAAAAACTCTATTAGCTTTTAACAAATTGATGAGAAAGTGAACAGTATTTCTCAACTGCTTCTCAGGAACACACAAATGGAACCCTTGAAATTTACTGACACCGAGTAAAAGTTTTGAATCACCCTTTACTATTACAATACTTTCCTTCAAGAAATGGATGCCTGCTTTACCATGTAAATATATACAAGCACAAAACTGACCATTAAGTGTGTGCAGCTGACCAAAAGCATATAAATATTGTGCTTCCTCCAAATGACAGAATTTAGTGCAAAGGCTCTGCAATCCTATTAGTAAAGGGAGTGGAGAAGTGCCTGATCAAGAAATGTATTAATCAGCCTCAAATTTCCTGGCGAGAATCCAATCCAGCTCCTGCTCATGTGATATAGATTTGCAATAGATAATTTAAGCTACACTAATTTGTGGCAGAAATAGATAGACCTTTAGCGGTAGCAACTTTACATAATACCAGGAATTTTATCCTTGGCCATTTTAAGAATTCCCATGTTACCCTTAGTTTTAATCCTCCCTACTTTAGCTTTTTATCAAGCACTGGTAAACTCCCACATACTTTATATTGCAGCTTTATTGTTATTATGTGCCCCTGATAGATATAGATCATATTTATAGTTATTTAGTCATTCAAGCTACTTAAAGGGATAAGTTAAAAATCATATGTAAACAAATGAAAACATCCTATATTTGAGAAACTGCTTCTCGGCTCTATGAGCTGTGGCCCAAGCGTAGTATATATTATTAAAAGTCTTTCTATTTTGTCAGGATTTACACATTACGTTTTCCTCTCTCAATGAAAACCAACTCAGTCAGTCAATTTCATATTTAGATTCTTAGTGATGCAAAATCTGGATTTCAAACACTGTAGGGGAATATTTGTTTAAAGAGCTTTAAACAAAATTGTTTAAAAATTGGGGAAAAACCTGTAGTGGGTTTAATATTTATAAAAAAATTTTTTACTAAATTTGCAGCCAAATTTAAAATTGAGCATCCCTTTAAGCCTAAAGAGACTCAAATCTTACCTGCATAGCACTCTTTCCCATTTTAACAACCTCAAACAGCATCATGTTTTCCACACCATTCTGTTGGTGATGTCCATTCATCCGGTTTGGACCAGCAGGTTTCCCTCCTCCGTTTCCACCTTTCCCCTTTTCTCCTGGGCCTTTTTCCCTTTTTTACAGGTCTGCAATCAAATCAAGAGCAACTTTCAAATCACTTCAAATGTAAGAACATAAGAACAGCCATATGGGTCAGACCAAAGGTACATCTAGCCCAGTACCCTGTCTTTCGACAAGTGGCCAATGTCAGATGCTTCAGAGAATGAACAGAACAAGTAATCAAGTCATCCATCCCCATCACCCATTCCCAGCTTCTGGCAAATAAAGGCAAGGAACACTATCCCTGCCCATCCTGGCCACTGATGGACATATCCTCCAGGAACTTATCTAGCTCTTTTCTGAACCCTGTTATAGTCCTGGCCTTCACAGCATCCTCTGGCAAAGAGTTCCACAGGTTGACTCTGTGTTGTGTGAATAAAAACTTCCTTTTGTTTGTTTTAAAACTGCTGCTTATTAATTTCATTTGGTGACCCCTAGTTTTTATGTTATGAGAGGGAGTAAATAATCCTTCCTTCCTTACTTTCTCCACACCATTCGTGATTTTATAGACCTTGATCATATCCCCGAATCGTCTCTTTTCCAAGCTGAAAAGTCCCACTCTTTTTAATCTCTCCTCATATGGAAGCTATTCCATACCCCTTAATCATTTTTGATGCCCTTTTCTGTACCTTCTCCAATTCCATTAGATCTTTTCTGAGATGGGGTGACCACATCTGCACACAGCATTCAAGATGCGGGTGTATCATGGATTTATATAGAGAAAATAGGATATTTTCTGTCTTATTATCTATCCCTTTCCTAATAATTCCCAACACTGTTAGCTTTTTTGACTGCTGCTGTACATTGAGTAGATGTTTTCAGAGAACTATCCACAATGACCCCAATATCTCTTTCTTGAGTGGTAACAGCTAATTTAGACTCCATCATTGTATATGTATAGTTGGGATTATGTTTTCCAAAATTCATTACTTTGCATTTTTTAAAAGAAAAAGAAATTTTAGATATTCCTAGTTCAGTGTTTTCCCCACAATGGTACAGGCACCTAACCAGCATTAAAACCATTCTTGCACTTATCAGTCTGCACAAAATTTCAAGTGTTTCAATATCCCTGATAAACCGAACATACTTTTCCTTTTCCTTGTTTTTGATTTTTTCCTTCAATATCTTCAAAGTCTGTATCAGAAGAAAAGTGTGTTTCAGACTCCCTGTAATGACAAACAAATGTTTACATACTACATCAGAAACCTTACTGTCAAAATAATTGTAGCAATATTATCTACATCTTCAATAAGACTATGTCAACTCACTATGAACAAATATTTAAATCTAGGCTTTTCCTTTTAAATCCATTTTGACTTAACAACTAATTAACATGCTAGAGAACCGTAAATAAAAGGTTCCTTCTGCTGACATCACAGGAAGGTGTCTTCTGTGAAATCAAATGACTACGGAATTTTCTTTCCTTTTTTTAAAAAAAAACGTACAGAAATCCAACTATTGAACATTGAAGCTGGTTGGAAATTTTTGAATTTTCAACAAAAAAAATTCACAAAAAATATTCTGGCTTTTTCAACCAGCTGTGTTAGACAATATATAAAGAGATAGTAAGAATCCTGCTCTAACATCTTTATGCACACCACTTAGTTATCTTTACCTAACTCCCGCTTTGAAAAAAAATTAAACATACTTGAAGTAGCTTTGTATTTTATCAAAACTCAAATTTTGTAAAATGTAAATTGGACAGCCAAGAAAAACATAACGTGTTTAATTTTACTGAAAATGTTGACATGCTGTTTGCTCAAAACATGTTTACAAGATGCTTTTAAAACAGTCTTATTCCTACAAATATATTTTAATTTAATTGTACGATAAGCCACTGCAGAGACTAGATGCTAATAAAACCATTTCTGCCATATTAGTAACAATTGATGTCATATTCACAATATTCAAATATTCTTGATCCCTGATTTGTTCTTAATTTAGGTTTGATATAGGAAGGTACTTAATTCAGTTCAGTCCTATTCAGAACAGCACTTAGGTGCCTGCACACAAGGCACCAAGATAAGCACATATTTAAGTGTTGTCCTGAATAGTGATGCTTTCCTGAGTCAGGGCCTAAAGAGTATGAAGTTCAGACTGTTAACTGCGCAAAATTTGCTTAAATTGATGTTTTGTGAAATGGCAAGATTATTCAGAAGAGAGAGAGATTATTCACCCTGTGCAGTATCTAGTTCTTCAAGATGTGTTTAGCTATGGGTGCTTCCCTTCAGGTGCACATGTGCCCCACACACCTTCTATCAGAGATTATAGTTGCCAGTGACTGCTCAAGCCCATGCATACGAGACTATAGTAGGCTGCATGGGTGAACCACCCCAAGTTCCTTCTCCACCCACCACCAAGTCTCAGAAAAAAAACTCAGAAGGAAGGAAGGTAGTGTAACACCTGTAGGAGAACACATCTTGAAAATTACAGTTATTGCACAGGGTGAGTAACCTCTCTCCCTCTCTTTGAGTAATGTCCCTATGAGCATTCCACTTCACATGACTGCCAAGCAGTATCCCCGTAACGAGAAATGAGCTTTGGAATCGAGTCCAGAACGGAGATAAGAATTACCGTATCAGAACTACAGGCACGGACTAGGGCATAGCATCTAAAGAAGGTATGTACCAAATACAATGTAGCAGCTCTGCAGATCTCGGATACTGAGGCCTGGTCTACACTACGGGTTTAGGTCGACTTTAGCGGCGTTAAACCGAATTAAGCCTGGACACGTCCACACAACGAAGCCCTTTCTTTCGACTTAAAGGGTCCTTTAAACCGGTTTCTTTACACCACCTCTGACGAGGGGATTAGCGATAAAACCGGTCTTTGCGGGTCGGAATTGGGGTAGTGTGGACGGAATTCGACGTTATTGGCCTCCGGGAGCTATCCCACAGTGCTTCATTGTGACCGCTCTGGACAGCTCTCTCAACTCAGATGCACTGACCAGGTAGACAGGAAAAGGCCCGCGATGATTGGAATTTCATTTCCTGTTTGCCCAGCGTGGAGAGCACAGGTGACCGTGATGGGGTCCTCCCAGGATCGCAAAAGAACTCCAGCATGGACCGAACGGGAGG